CGGAAGAGGAGATATCAGACGAGGAGAAAAACGGCGCTCACAGTTCTGACTCCGAATACAAATTAAGCGGCACCGAAAGTGAGGACGATCACCATACGGACGAAGAGAGCAACGCCAGCTCTGATTTCAATCCGTTCTTCAGTGATAGCGATTCTGACGTTGGTAAATATCAATCTTGTAACTTGATCTCTATTTTTCAATTGAAATTGTTATATTTATTTGTGTTGTTTGAAATTCCTAAAAATATTTGCATTTAAAACAAGATAAATATTCGGGTGTTAGAAAGAGAAAACGAAGATTCTTGGTGCAAAAAGTGCAAACAACACGAATAAACTTCTTAGGTTTATTTGTGTCGCATGCTTTAACATGCTCCTATTTATTCTAATGAATGCGCTGAAGTGAGTAGGAGCTGTGGTAGGAGGATATTTGAGCATGTTGTAATATACGACGTGAACAAACTTATTGTAATTGAAGAATTTCCAAAACTATTTTTTATGTTTTTATTTCTTTAGATCCTTGGGACAGGCGAAAGAAAAAGGGCAAGAAGCAGAAGAAACCTGCGAAGAAACGTTTGAGCACGCAGGATAAAATCCAATCAATGTTAGTGCATAAACAGTCCAGTAATAAAAGCAAACGTAACGGTGACACGGCAATGAGTGGGCCAATGAGTGCTACAGGCGGAGGTGTGCCTCAAAATCAAGCACCGCCTAGAGACTCTATCGAAAGAGCTTGCAGCATGAAAGAGGAATTATTATCACAAATAGAGATTCTTGGCGATCGATTGCCGCCAAATACACTAGATCAATTGATAGATGAGCTCGGCGGACCAGAAAATGTCGCGGAAATGACTGGTAGAAAGGGTCGCGTCGTGCAAAGGGAAGATGGTGGAATAGAATACGAGTCTAGGTCAGAGGTGGATGTTCCTTTAGAAACTCTTAACTTGACGGAGAAACAGAGGTGTGTATCAGTAAAACTTGTTATATAATGATTTTACATTCATTCTTTGTGCGTAAATTTTTAACCACTCACAGATTAGGATTATATACTGCTTTCTATAATGATGATAATTTATATCAATCCTTTGAGTTGAATGTTGGTATTCTATCGAATATCTTTGAATACATCAGGTTTATGGACGGAGAGAAGACTGTAGCGATAATCTCCGAAGCAGCTAGTAGCGGTATATCATTACAAAGCGATAGGCGAGCTAGAAATCAAATGCGACGTGTGCATATCACGCTCGAGTTGCCGTGGAGTGCGGACAGAGCGATACAGCAATTCGGACGAACGCATCGATCGAATCAGGTCAACGCACCGGAGTATATATTTCTTATATCAGATTTGGCCGGAGAGAGGCGATTCGCCTCGATCGTTGCGAAACGTCTGGAAAGTCTGGGTGCGTTAACGCACGGTGATCGTCGCGCGACTGAAACCCGAGATCTCTCGCAATTCAATATCGACAACAAGTACGGTCGTTCGGCTCTAGAAGCGACGATGAAAACTATAATGGGGTTTGTGTCAATTAAAAATACATTAAAGAAATATTCCATATAGAATATAGGCACTTAATTCGACTTAATAATTTCAGATACGAACCGCCATTAGTACCACCACCTCAGGATTATCAAGGTGATTTCTTTAAAGACGTGGCGGACGCGCTAGTAGGCGTCGGTTTGATTTGCAATAGCGAGAGTACGCCCGGTGTGCTCACGCTCGATAAGGATTACAACAACATGTCAAAGTTCCTGAATCGTATCCTTGGGATGCCAGTCGATTTGCAAAATCGTCTGTTCAAATACTTCACCGACACGCTCAACGCCATTATAACTCAGGCCAAGAAAACCGGTCGTTTCGACATGGGTATTCTTGACCTTGGTACATCAGGCGAGAACGTTCGCAGGGTGCGTCTTTATCGGTTTCTACGAAAGCATGCAACCGGCAAAGCACCAACGGAACTACACGTAGTCCATGTCGAGCGCGGTATGAGCTGGTCCGAGGTCACAGACAAGTTTTCGGAGCTGATTGGAGCTAAAGAGGGTTTCTATCTGAGTCATCAGATCCGCAATGGCAAACAGACGGCCATTCTCGCGGCCGCGGTGGATAGTGGCAAGAAAAAGTCCGAAAGCAAGAAGGATCAGCTTTATATGGTGTACAGGTAGTCATTTAAAATACCATTATATATCTACGATTTATCACAAACATATGCATTATAATTCTTGACGTTGGAAATTAATGATTGCGTATTGTCAGGCCCAACACGGGTCTGCAGCTACGACAAGAGTCTCTAGGTGAATTAGAGAAGAAGTACAAGAAGGTAAGCGCAGATGAGGCAGAGCCACACTGGACACAACAGTACGAGGCTTCCGTGAACACGTGTTCGCATGCGTATTGGAGTGGCAACTGTAAAAACACCACCCTTGGTATAGATTGCGAAGTGGGGCTAAGAAGACGTTCCTATAATGTATTAGCTGGTTCGGTTCTGAGTGTTTGGAGCCGCGTGGAGAATGTGCTCGCTACGCGATCCGGACATAACTCTAAGATGCAAGTTATACGGTTACGTACGGGTAAGTTGAGTTTGAAAATGACTATTCAATGTTTCGATTAATGTTCCAATAAGATTTGAAACCGTCTAATAATTTCCTATTGTCGTCCGTGACAGACGAAGGGTTGAAGATTGTCGGGACACTTATCCCGAAGTCTTGCATGGAGTCGTTACGTCAAGCGCTCTCCTCTGACGCAGAGAAGACAGAGGAACTGACGTTTTGAGCGCTGAGTCTCTCATCAAGGGTAAGGTTATCTTCTCCGAGATAATCTCTACGAGTATATAATCTTAATAAAATTACTTTATTGTAATCTCTTAATAAAATTTTTTTAATTTACTTCATTGATAATCTGACTTTATTGAAAAAATTACTTTATTGATAATCTTAATAAAATTACTTTATTGTCATAGATATAAATAGGACCAAGCGAGACTCTCGATGTGACGTAGCATACTGCGATTATAGGAAGACTCTTCTTTTCTTAAACCTTTCGTCCAAACGCGAGAAGAGGAGTGAGTTAAGATGTGTTAAGAAGTTAAGATGTGGCACCAAGTAGATTCCGAATTGAATCTACTAATCAGCGTGATGAACATAAGTAAACGCTTCCGATTAATTATCGACAAGGCTAAGATTACAACTTGCTGCTTATTTCTTTGTCATGTCTATGTAATCGTTCGCGAGAAATTTTAGCATTAACTCGCCACATACCAACGTAGATTTTTAAATAGTTGAATTCTTTCTTTTTATCATCTATATATATATATATATATATGTCCCTGTCACACTGATTATAATTAGAAGAGGAAGTTTATTTTTTATGTCGTCGCCGTTAATCATATTTTCATCCATGAAGTTTTAGCAGACAAACGTGTGGCACATAGTAGGATAAATACAAACTATTCTGCGAGAGAGCGTAACCATTTAGAGGAGTGACAGAGCACGTATTTTCCTGTAGGACATGTGAAGTATAACCGATTAATAGTTTATATGATTTAGAAACTTGTTATTTTAAGCTAGCCATTAACGCTAATGTCCGAAGAGCATCGACTGTTGTCATCGTAATAGTGCCAGTAAATTTAATTAAACGTGATAATTATTGAGGGAATGCGGATTAATCGAGAATAGAAAGACGATCGAAACAATCGATCCTTTTCGGAAAATATAAAAGTATACGCGACAGCTTTGGTTTTTGTTTGATCGTTAAATCAAACATAATTAGAGAGGTGTTGCACACATACACATGCTACTGCTACCGTTACTACTATAGGCTACCATTATTACTATAAATTATTGCTACTGCTATACTAGTACTAGTGCTCTACCGTTACAAAACTATCATTAATATTATCCAGATCTGAAGAGACGAGGTAATCACATGGATATTGCAAATGTGCTTTTCCGATTTTACCGTAAAAGTTAAGAGACACAAGTAAATCCATGGAAGTGTCCTCCGATTTTTATGATCTTTGAATATGTTGTTTTCTAGACAAAACGTATTTTTTTTATAATAGCACTTTTAGAGAATGCAATACCTCTTTGAAGAAAAGCGGTTTTTTTTTTTTCAAAGCGAATGTCGTTGATATTGTAATAAAAGTTGAATGGTTTGAAAATATTTTTAAAAATTATTATAAATATTGACAAATTGTTTGATTTATTATAATATATTATTTATAATAATTTAAAAAATTTGTTTAAATAACTAATAATTTCGTATATCAAATCAAACTAACAAAGTCCTTATAAATGAACTAATAATTTATTTAAACATTAAACATCTCTTACACTTTTGACATTTCGAAAAAAAAGTTTTTCTTCAAAAAGATGTTGCACTTTCTAAAAGTGCGATCAGACTTTTATTTAAAAAATCTTTTATTTTTTTGTCTAGAAAATATTTAAAACTTAAAATCAGATGAAGATACTTCCATGAATTTCTTTGTTATAATAGTATACAAGTGCCAAGTTATATGTTTATTTTCTTTATTTTCTTTTTTTATTATTATGACAATACGAATTAGTTAAAAAATGAATTTTAATTAAATAAAAAGTGTGTATTTTGTTCTATATATCATTGAATATACTGTAAGAAAAAGTCACATTCTTGACACAGGCAACTATTATTTTTAAAAGTATTATAAAATAAGAAAGTATTATATATTTGTGATATATTCCTAAATTATACAATTTTATAAAATTGGAATTTTTTTTATTTCTCGAACAATTGAGTCATATTTTTCTTTGTTTGCTGTATTTTCTTATGTGATTTTATAAAATTGAAACGGAATCGTAGAGATGTCTGGTGTCCGATATCTTCCTATATACCTCAACGAGATATTTATCGAAATTACTTAAGACACAACGCCTCGTCTCTCGACGATCTCCACCTATACTAATTAGCCTTAAAACATAAAAAAAGAAAAAAGAATTAGATGAAAAAAATAGTACATACAGCCGATATATTTATATTCAGATACATAAACTAGCAACCAGTGCGGCCTGCATGTATATTGGATGTAGATTGTTTATGTCCGTTTGTACGTCTGAACGAGATTTCGAAGAACGAGTGACTACGATATGGGCCTCGCGATTTATCATCTCTAATGGTATAATAAAACTTCAAAGATGCAGATTTAGAGCATAGAGTACTATCCGAACAGTTGAATAGAATCAATCCGTGATTAGAATCCTCATTTTAGTGATTTAACTCTTAAGAACGTGCGAATGATGCGTTTGCGTATGACGAGAGAAAGAGAGAGAGAGAGAGAGATTCGTCATCCACCTGTTTCCACAGTTATCTTCATCGTAAATAGTCTCGCGGTAGTTATACAGTAAAAACAACCGCGTGATTTCCTACGGATGACTATATATTACATTTATAAAGGAGATCGAGACAAAGGGGAGAACAACATCCGATTGTAAAATATCTATATAACTATCGGTAACCCCTTTTTGTAACAAATGAAGAAAGAAGGGAAGTGCGATATTTAATGTTAGAGCGAGACTTATCGTAGATTTAATTCTTTTAGCTATCGATTATTTGTAAGGCGTGATATATTAATTATTACTGCGTTACTTTAGCGAAATACGGGAAGCAGTAGATGCGATTCGAAGGTATTAACTGCATTCAATTCAGAGCTCGGTCTCACAACTCGCGACAGCAATTAAAAATTCAATAGCAGGATTTTATACAGAAAGTCATAAGGTAATTTATAGGAAGCTCTGATGAAGTTACTAAATATATATGTAAATATATATCGAGGCTATAAAAGAGAGGCGAAACTCTTTAGTGTGTACGGAACGCGTTTTGTGTTTGGTATTTTTTTTTTTACAATTATATCTCGCTTGAGTTCCTATTTTCTAGAGGAGACTTATAAATGTAGTATCTAGTACATGTGGAAACAGGCATTGTGCTTTCTAGTGAAAACTTTTTTTTTCGTAATGTGCTGTTTTCGCGGATGACTCAAGAGTGCACTGTGTGTGTATATATGCATATATAAATGTCTGTGTATGTAAAACCAATTCTTACCCGAAACGACGACGATACTCACCATTTTGGCTCTTCGAGAGCTTTTTTTTAAAGATCCCCCTTCGTTCTGCGCTTTATCGAGCTGATTGATCAACGCTAAACTATTTTTTTTTATAACGAAAATGCTAAATCAGCATACATCCTTTTCTTTTTATTGTTATTACCAAATGTGCTAAATAACGCAGAATGCAAAACTATTGGTTTATACAGATATGAAATATAATGATTTTCCTGCAAAATGTGCAAATCCCTTGTCCACCGAAACCTTTTCTTATAGAAATAAAGTTAACCATCACGAAAAGGAAATACGTACATAAATAAATCACGATGTCATCTTGTTCCGTTTCCAGAATTCGAAATCAATAAATCCATACAATTAGCGCTATTATAAACAAAGGCTATATCATATTTTAACATTTATTAAGTTAACGTGTTGAATGTGGATGAAAGTTTCATTTACATTATATATCCTCACGTCTTGTACTTCGGTATAAAAAAACTATACAGACAAGCTTCTTTTCGTGCACTTTGAACGCAAGCGGAAGGAACGCTTACTCAATCATTCACGCACACATACAATCTCGCATACCCTATCATGTTAAATTTCCTACATGTTTATTAGATCTCCATAGTACCTTTTAAACGTATGTATATCTTTACTGTGAAACGTATTGCAAAAATTTCCGTGGTGAAATAATCGCTATTTGGAGATGGAAGTATTTTTGTATCGTCTAGTGAAAGGCGTACAGAAGCATTAAAAACGTACAAATTCCAATAACGAGGCCGAGTATAACGGAATCTCTTCTCTTACGTAGATTTATCCTCTGCAGTAGACTGTTTACCGCCGGAAATCGATTGGAGATATCATTGAATCGAGTTCGTATACGTTTGAATGCCTGTCTCTGAGTCATAAGGTGATCCCGTGTCTCTATCGCTATGCTTATTTGGTCATTGATCAATCGGTCGGAACTAAAAAGATACATGATAATGTTAAGTATAAATATCTTAAGAACTTTTTAATATAAGTACAGGTATCTCACGGAAAGTATTGAAACTAATCAGCTGTCATTTTTGAATGTATTCAGTTAACGAAAAAACAAAAATTATGTTGAAAAATGAAAAGTGTAATTTTTAAGGGAAAATTTAACCAAATGTATGTAAATAAATACATTCGAAAATGACAGCTGTTTAGTTGTAACACCTTTCCATGAAATACCCTATATTTTCAAAAAAGTTAATAAAACTTAACATTATTTATCACAGCATCATTAACAAGACCAAGCTGACTTACTTATGAATATGTTGATTTTCCTTGAGATACATTTCGCGCCGATTCAATCCAGTCGCACTTTTGTAGTTGCTATATAAAACAGACACTGATTTAGTTTCTATCAATATAAAATCTGAAATATGCAATATATAAAATGAATGCGACACAGTCGTACATACTCTATTTCCTTACGGACACTGCCTAAAAGATCCTCGCGGTCTTTCCTAGCTGTAAAATTATTTCTAATTTTGTTGAATTCCAACTTGTAGTCTTTTAGTATTTCCTTGTGGCGTTGCATCGTGTGTAACATAGCTGCTCCGTTTGGCTGCAACTCGCTCATCCTCTCGTTTATGGAAAACAACTATGCCGATTGTGCTTGATCAGTATACCTGTTTACTTGCGTACGTACAGGAAAAAAAAGAAGAAGGATCTACCTTGGCGAGCAATGTTTCAATCTCTGACGCCATGTTCTCGAATACCTGTTCCTCGTCTAGGAGAGGAACCTCCTCTGTGCTGGCATGTCTCGTACCTGTATTTATGCCCAGCTTACTAAACGCCACTAGCTTTGCATCGATCTCATTTTCCAGATGTCTCGCCTGCTTTCTCAGATCTGTAACAGCGACTTGCATGATTAAGTAACAATTTCTAAATTTGAAGCATAAAAAGAACAGTCATCAAGAGCAAGAAGTATGTTCTTTTTAGGATACTATTATAGGTCTTTTTCTACACTCCAAGACTGAACTTTTTGCATAGTTCATCTTTTGTCTTTTTTCTTCAAGGGTTGTGTTGCAATTAAATTTACTACCAGTATTGAAAATTTTATAGTTTACATTATGTGCATTATAAATTTTCAGTACTGGCAGTAAATTTTGGAATATACAGCCAATGTGAAAAGAAAAAGATAAATCATGCAAGTAGTTCAGTCCTGGAGTATAGAAAAAAAAACAGGCCTAATCTCATGTCACGATTGTTTGTGAATCATAAATAATACAATGTGGAAACACGAATGGCACAGATGAGATTACGTCATTATCTAGGATAACGTACAGAACATGATCCTGCATTTTCGGAAACATTCCTTTGACCATCTCTGACAATGTAAACAAAGAATACAAATATCGAAATGTTGTTTCTTTTTCTTAAACGTCTAACGGTACTCGCAAGTTTCGCTGCGTCCTCAGACACGATCTTACCTTCCCAGTCGACCGTGTCTAGCGAGCCAGCCATTTATTTTGAATCGCAAACACACGCGTTCGTGGATGACACGTAAAACGTCACATAACCATCTCTGACAACGTAAACAAAGAATACAAATATCGAAGTGTTGTTCCTTTTTCTTAAACGTCTAACGGTACTCGCAAGTCTCACTGTGTCCTCAGACACGATCTTACCTTCCCAGTCGACCGTGCCTAGCGAGCCAGCCATTTATTTTGAATCGCAAACACACGCGTTCGTGGATGACACGTAAAACGTCACATAACACTCTTCCTCTATCTCCTCCGATGTCGAACGGATCTTGACAAACGAAGAAGAACGTAACGAGCCCTCTGCAAAGTGCGAATTGAGGAAATGGAAAAGCACGCAGCGACCTCACAGTTCATGATTCGTTGCACTCCGCACTTGCACTCGCTATTCATTTTAGGCTGCGATCCATTTGACGCTACAAACGTTTCGAAACATTCTTTGATTAGTCA